CCAGCTTGTGAAGCCACATCGCTTCTGCTACATTCACTCATTGGAGGAAGCTCAGTCCAGCCCTGAAGCAAGGGGACAAGGATCGGGCACCACCTTTAGAAGGGAGGAGTGTCAAAGGTTTGCGGCTCTGGTTTATAACCACCCCTGGCCTCACGGGATTGTTATGCAGATTAAATGAGTTAATACAAGTAAGTGCTTAAAACAGAGCCTGGAATATGGTCATTGCCATGTAAGTGTTTGATGGCTATTATTATTAGTAGTAGTAGCACTATTATTGCCATCACTGTTCTTCCCTGCCCCGCCAGTCCTCACTCTTCCTTCTCCCCAAAGTTACCTCAGAGGTGGGGGAAAGTCATTGGTTCCTAAGACCCCGCAGGGAAGCAGGGACTTGGGGGGACTGCCCACCCTCTTTATGTGCCCCAGGAAACCGAGTGGAGCCCACTGGGGCTGCAGCCCAGGCGGTCAGGCCTGGCCGCCGGGGTCGGTGTCAGCCTCTGTACGTCGCAGTCCTCACAGCTGCTGCCAGGCTGACCCTTGTCCTCTCTTCATCAGACAACACACAGCCGCAGGCAGCTGAGGAAATTCCCCAGGCAAGTGATTGGCTTGGGGACACGCTCCTGCCCTGCACCCCAACCCCCGCGTGACAGGGCATAGGGCGGGCTTGGGGGGCAGCAACCAGCAGCAAGAAGGCCCTTGCTGCCACAACCCACGAGGCAGAGCCAGCTAATCCACGTGCAGGTGGCTGCCTGAAAGATGCCCACCAGAGGGCACACGGGGGCTGCCACCCAGCCAGGCTGCGGCCCCCAGGGGAGGGACCGCCTTTCCCTGTGTCCACTCAGGGCCGCACTTTTCCCAACGCGCAGAAAGCCCTGCACCCGCTGGCCTGGCCGCCGCTGCCCAGGAAGATCCCTGCCCTGGGCCCTAGTATGTGAACACTTCACAGCCAGGTGGCTGATGGCTCCTTCCATTTGGGCTTAGCTTTTTCATTTCCCGGTTTCTACGTGGGTTTCTTTCTTCTGGCTGATAGGCCTGCCGTGGATGGCAGAGAGGACGGGCTGGAGGACGCGCAAGCACGTACCCTCCCGCCTCTCTAAGGCCTCCCCACTTCTGGAAATGCTGGAACCCCGCTCGGTGCCTTGGCTACCTGGGAACTCTTGGGCCTCCTTGAAGGAGCAGGAGGGGCTTCTCCGAGCACAAGCTGGCCCCCTTCATCCCGCTGGCCTGGATGAGGGGGTCACTTGGCTGTGAATGCTCAGGGCAACTGGGCCGGGGTGAGATGGGGACCCTCCTTGACAAGATGGAACGGCAAGGGTGCAGAGGCAGGAGGGATGAGCACCCTTGGCATTTTACTCTCGAATAGAGCCTAACTTTGCAAGGAGGTACTCTGATCTCTGCAAGGACTGATGTCTCAAATCCAAGATAGATAGATAGATAGATAGATAGATAGATAGATAGATAGATAGATAGATGATAGAGGATAGACTACTCACAGAGAGGTTTGAAGAGGAAGCAATGGGCCAGTAAGAATTTGCACACAAACTTCATAATTTTTTTTTCAGAGGAAAATTTAAAAAAACAAAGACAAAAACCAAACACACACACACACACACACACACACACAGAGAGAGAGAGAGAGAGAGAGAGAGAGAGAGAGAAAGTTCCCTCCTTTTCTTTGGTTGCAAATATAAAATAAACAAGCACAGAAGTCATCTCTCTAGCTCAGAACTAGGCTGTCTCTATTTACACTTGGTGGATCCTTGTCTCCATTCCTACCATTTTATCTAAGAGTAATGAAACAAAGGAGCATGAAAAAAATAGTAGTTAATGACCATGAGCAATAAATACAACATTCACCAGGGCTCGGCCCATGGTTTCCTGCCATCTTGTCTCATCCATCCTGATGACTCCACACCTGGCCCATGGACCAAGGGGAGTTGACAGCTGTGCACACCTGGGGCCATAGCACTCTCTGAGCCTCACTGTGGGTTGATTAAAGGGGTTAGAGAGTTTTCAGTGTAGCCCCTACCAGGAAAATGATAACATTTCTGGCTTTTGCCACTTGATGGAACTTTACAACAGAGAACGACAGTAAGAGATAAAGTTTGGTGAGGTCCCAAGAGGCCATAGCCTCCAGTACAAGATTTCCCAAGGTTAGCCCTGTCAGCATTTTGGGAGGGGCAATTCTTTGTTGGGGGGCCATCCTGTGTATGTAGGATATTCAACAGCAGCCCTGGCCTCTCCCCTACCCACTGGATGCCAATAGCAACTCCCCAGTTGTAACAACCAAAAATATCTCCAGATATTACCAAATATCTCTGGGGTGTGTGTGTGTGTGTATGTGGTTTATGTGTGCATGCATGTGCGCAAAATCTCCCCAAGAAGCACTGCTCTGGTGATTAAGAGCAGGGGTGATGGGGTGTGACTGTCTAAAAACAGATCACAGTGCCTGCATCTTGTAGGAGCACTGAATGAGTTAATAAACATAAAGCTAGTCTGACCATAAAATGTATCCTCCAAACCAGGGCAATTTGAGAGTGAAAGAAGGTTCTAGTAATAATTTTGTAACCTGTTACTGTCTATGAAAGTGGGATGTGTGATTGGTCCATAAGACTATATAATTTTGAGCACTGAGCTTGACCTGGTGTCCACTCAATGACTATTATGCTATGTGCTGTACAAACAGGAACTTCATTTAATCCCCCACAAAACCTTATGAGGTTGGTATTATTATCACACCCTTTTAATATATGGAAAGACCAAGGAACTAGGAGCTAAAGTAACTGGCCCAAGGTCACACAGTGAGTTGTACAGCTAGGATTTGTATCCTGGCAGGTGAGTTTCCAAGCCCATGTTCTTAACCTCGGTGCCTAGGGAAACACAGCACTACTCAATACCGTGGGACTTCACATGAACTACTAGCTCTAGGTCGCTCACGGTTTCAACGGTAATCCCACTTATGAAGCTGGGTTTTCGGGGTTTATTGTGAGAAAAAGCAGACCCATGAAAATCAGCGTGGAGCAGGAAATGCGGGTGGCAGTGTCCAATCTGATTCCCAGTTTTGTAGGGCTCAGCAGGTCCACCATCCCATTCGGAAGTCACTGTGGCTATTTAAGAATGAAAGAAACATTTTATTTTTCAATTCATATTTATTGTTTTCCCTGATGGCTACTAAGTTGTTAGGACATAAAGTCTTATTAAGTCATTTGGATCCAGCTGCTTAACAAATGAAACTATTGGTCTGTCCTATTCTATTCTATTCTATTCTATTCTATTCTATTCTATTCTATTCTATTCTATTCTATTCTATTCTATTCTATTCTATTCTATTCTGCCTAGGAGGCACCATGAAGGTGATAGAAAGAAAGTTTGGGAACCTTTGCACTCACCGTTTTGCCATTGGGAGAACCCTGGAGGGTACGAATGGAGAAGTCCTTCTAGCCCAGAGACCTCACCCTGGTTGTCCACTCTGGGGAAACCTTACTGTCCCCGTGGCACATTAGCCTGAGATAGTGGAATTGCCCCCTCCCCCATTCTCTCTCTCACACATACACACAGCTTTCCTTTCCCTCACACAAAACCATTGTCCTCTGACCCACTCAGACAATGCCACTTTCTGTCTGAGTTCCCTTTATTTCAATCTCTTGCCCCATTTCAACTATGTCGGGAAGCAAATTGGTTGTTTTACAACTTGAACTTAGTCAAGGTTCAAGTTGAGCATCTCCGGATGACATGCAATCTGCCCCTCAGGTCAGACCCACATGGAACAGTGACAAGCAGACACACAAATGCACCCCTCCTCCAGAAAGCACTGAGACTGCTCCACTGGACTCTTCATAAATACACAGAGGTAATCACAGACAGAGCGGGCAAGTGGGAGAGGCTGGCACTATCACAAAGGGGAGGGGGTGACGGCTTGGGTGGCGAGGGCTAAGGCCACAAGCACACTACTGCCTAATTTACTGTAACAGAAAACTAGACAGCAGGGCGGTGGTGGAAATGTGTGGGGCAGGGGCAGTAGACATGGCTTTTTATTACTACCCAGGGGCCTCCTTGGACAAGTCATTCTTGTGTGCCTCAGTTTCCTCATCTCTAAGGGGATTTGACTTCCCATTGCTTGTCAAACTGGGGTGCCTGAGGCACATACAGGCTGTGTGCACACCTGAAGCCTTGGAATGTCCTTCTAGGGTGTCAGGTTCATTCAGGATTACTCTTTTTACACGAAGGCATTTTATATCATTAATCAGAATGCAAAATTTACATGCATTTTAATTACAGCAGCTAATAATTGATGACACTTCACAGGCAATTACTGCGTGTCAAGTGTTACTCTCTTTATATGATCCTCACAATTACCCAATGAGATACCTTATTCCCATTGAATAGACTAAAAACCTGGGGCACAAATAAATGAAACAATCTCCCCCAAAGCCACATGTTATTAAGCAATGATAAAACAAGAGATTCCCCCCTTATCACCTCGCCCTCAAAATCTGGGTCCATCGCTAGATGCTTTGGGATTTACCCCCTAGATATGTGGGCCTTCTCTGGTGAAGCCTGAATGGCGAGGGCCAAAATGATCTCCAATGCTCTGACACTCCTAAATCAATTTTAGCTAAATCGGTGGATTAAAGGCTTCTGCATGCCGGGTGTCACCGGAGGATGAAAGAGTCTGGAGAGGCCCCTCAGGGGTTCTGAGGGTTCACTGGGTGGGGTTTCTCAGACCCTGGGGTGCTCCCAAACCTTCCCGTGAGAGTGGAACGTCTGCCTGGGCCACCTCCTCGTGCCCAGCCTGGGTGTTGTCAGCCGCTGTCGCCCTGCACTTCCTCGTTCCCGCGCGCCCGGGGCTCAGCTCGCTACGCCCAGCGCCGGCGCTCCGCAGGCGGGAGGGGGTCAGAGGGGAGGTGTCGCAACCGCCTCCCTCCCTCTTTCCCTGCCTTGGCGCTCAGTCACCTCCCAGATGAGCGCACTCGCAGACAGCTGCGGGCCGCCGGCCGCTGGGCATGTCCCTTGATTGCTCACGGGCAGCGGGCACTGGGCCCCCGCGCATCCTGGAGCGGGCCAACCGAACCCGCTTCTCCTTCTTCTCCGAAGTCAAGGGCGACCACCGGCTGGTGCTGAGCTCAGTAGAGACCGTCGTACTGGCGCTCATCTTTGTGGTGTCGCTGCTGGGCAACGTGGGCGCCTTGGTGCTGGTGGCGCGCCGACGGCGCCGCGGCACCACCGCCTGCCTGGTGCTCAACCTTTTCTGCGCGGACCTACTCTTCACCAGCGCCATCCCGCTCGTGCTGGTCGTGCGCTGGACCGAGGCCTGGGTGCTGGGCCCGGTCGCCTGCCATCTGCTCTTCTACGTGATGAGCCTGAGCGGCAGCGTCACCATCCTCACACTGGCGGCCGTCAGTTTGGAGCGCGTGGTGTGCATCGTGCGCCTTCAGCGCACCGTGCGGGGCCCGTGGCTGAAGGCGCGGGCGGCGCTGCTCCCACTCATCTGGGGCTACTCGGCGCTCGCCGCGCTGCCCCTCTGCATCTTCTTCCACGTCGTCCCTCAGCGGCTGCAGGGCTCGGAGCAGGTGAGCGCCGGCAGCTGTCTGGGCGGGCTGGCAGGCGGGGATCCGACGGAAATGTACCTGGGGTGAGGATTAACAGCAACAATAATAGGCCATTTGTTGCACTTAACCATCGTGTCAGACACCGGGTCCGGCGCTGTGAAACTTACCTTTTAGATTTCACTACAACCCTGCGATGTGGGTCCCGTAAACGCCCACCAAAGTGCTGTACATGAAGTCCCCCAAATGCCTGTAAATTGCACTGACTCTTAATTGCAAAATTAATGAAATAATGGGGGGGCGGGCTTAACAGCCAGACAGAGGGAATTTAGGGGATTCCGAGTTGCTAATCACATTATATAAATTCTGCTTTCTCGCCGGGTGTGACAGTACTCTTATCACACCTACTTTACAGATGAGAAAGCCGAGGCACAGGAATAATTTGCTCAGGGAATCTCACCCTTAGTGCGAGGAGGAGCTGAGGTCGTGCTCAGCAGATTCTGTGCGGGCTGGGCAAGGGTCCTGCTTTGAGAACCTGCGGACAGGTGCGTGTGGATGGGCCGGGGAGAAAGGGAGTTAGAGACCTAGGGATCCCAGACCCAATGCTGCCTCTTGGGGTGTGTGTGTGTGTGTGTGTGTGTGTGTGTGAGAGAGAGAGAGAGAGAGAGAGAGAGAGAGAGAGAGAGAGAGAGATTTCCCCTCCTGAAGCTTCAGCTTTTCCAACTGCAAGACGGAAAGATAAGACTAGCTAGACCATGGGATCTTACCCTGGGAACCGCGGATGATGGTTGGTTTCAGAATATCTTGGGCCCCTGAAATGTTCCGCAGGTTCGAGGCTAGGCAGATGAACTTTATTCTGGGCACCCGCCCCCCGTGGGGTCGTGTGTGAGTGCGGGATTTCCACGACCTAAAAAAGGTTCTTCCGCCCCCTCGACTTTGGTTCTGATCCGCTCCAGTCCCGCGCTCCAGAATCGCGGGCGCGGGTCTGTTTGTGTTGCTAGCCTGCCAGCCGCGATTCACTCCGGTACACCGGACCTGGGCCAGGGTGGAGGACAGAGTGACAGTTCTGGCTGGCATCCCCTGTGTGTTAGTCTTTCTGCGCCTTGCGGGAAGGGCAGAGAAAGGACTTAGGTCTGTGCACCTTAAGGGAAGATGTGAGACCTCTCGTCTCAGCCTCCCCAAGGGTCTGCTGAGGCTGGGTTCTTTGCCCCTCCTTTTTCCTACAGACATCTCTCCCTGGCCCTAGGAGGGCGTGTAGGGCACCCTGACCAAGTCTGACACAAACCACAGTCCCAAAGAGAGGCATGTGCAGCTTCCAGAAGCCGGTGGAAGATAGGGAGGCCTGGTTGGGTGGGGGTTGGTGTGCATGTTGAGAAGTCACCTGGGGGAGGGCTTTGAGCCTTGGAGATGAAGCAGTCTGACCAGGGGATGCCCCCTGGGTATGTCTTCCAGAGCCTGCTCACAGAGGTGAGCTTCTCTGGGGGTTACCCCTGACTAGTTAGTTTGTCACCCAGGCCTTTTATTGGGGTGGGGGAGAAGCCTGCATCCTGTGTAAGCAGTATCTTTTTAACCCAAATTAATCCTAAAAATCTCTTTCCTAATAGTTTATTTCTTGTGTAGAATACATTGTAGGGTTTTGCTTGTTTGTTTTGTTTTGTGACTAACAGACAGGAACTGCCTCAGGCCTTTGGCCCTTGATCAAAGAATATGTAAGCCTGTGGCACGTTTCCTTAAGTGGGGGCCAGGAAAGCTGGGGTTGGCTGAGCTGGTGGGTGCCGTTGGCATGGGGTGACCAGGGACCCTAGCTTAATGGGCAAGTTTGTCCTCCTTTGCCCAGGTACACCTAGAATCAAGTTGAGTAAGAGATGCCTTGTAAATAAGTGGAAGACCAAGTCTCACCCCACACCAATTGGATCAGCTTGGAGGTGGGGTTCTGTCATCAGTCTTTTGATTTTTTTAAAAAAGTTATTCTCTCACTGAGTTATAATGTTTCTGTATTTTTCACAGAACTTGAAAGATTTCTCCCCATGTTTTTTCATACAGAAAAAAAATAGCACCCAGGGAATTAAGGATCAAATAGAATCTATCTTAAGAGTTCCTTATGTTTCCAGATGTGTATCTTGTGCCTTTCCCTTTTACAGTTGTTCTAGGTGCATGCCTACTTAACTGCCAACGCTTCAAAATGGGGCTCTTTTCACCTCCAGGCCAAAAGCTCAGACTAAAACTGCTTGTCAGCGTGGACACCGGCAATTGTATGAGCAAGAAGGTCTTCATGCAGAGGGGGACCTTCCGTGTCTGTATTTTACCCCTGGTGGGGCATTTGTATGTGGTCAAAGCCCACTTCCAGAATGACCACAGCTACATTGCAAGGTGCAGCTGCCAGATCTCCCATGGAGATCTGTTGTGGTGGCCTTCCCTCTGTCCCCCTCAGGCAGGACACACAGACCCTTCTTGTTTTAAATCGAAACACCTTCTTAGTCTTCAGAGTCTTAGGAGAGGGATTTGGGCAGTGCCACGGGGAGAGAATGGACCTGCACAGCACCGCGGAAGATTGGGGGCCAGGCGAGTGGGCTGCAGGAGCCCTGTCCCCAGAATTAGTAGAGGTGGGGAGAGGCAGCTTGTAATGAAAATTCAACAGTCCTTTCCAGCTCTCCATCCTCTCTGTCTTTTCTCCTTTGTGTTACGCCCATGCACCTGCCAGTAAGCCAACAAACAAAACTGTGGGTCCTCAAAGGCTGTGACCTGAGCATGCAGGAAACACCTCATTTTATAGGTGAACAAACAGGCTCAGTAATCTAAGAAATAAGTGGGAAAGAATGAGAAATGGGAGGAGTGTGGCCATTAAAAAGAAAAGAGAGACAGAGAAGGATCAGGTCTAGACTGAACTGAGTCTCATATTAAAATTAGCAAAGGCTTGTCTTCTCAGCCCTCCACTCCCCACTTCCTGGCTGTAGATTTGGCCTGCCCCCTTCCCACTTGGACACGAAATAATGGAGGTTGTAGAGGCTGAACATTTTCCTACCCAAACCACAGGCAGAGAGAATGAACCAACTAACCCTGAGCACAAGCTGCCTCTCTGCCCTCAAGGAGCGCTGTGCAGGGAGCTTTCTGCTCGTCTGGACACGCAAAACCCAACCCCACCAGATCAGGAGCACGATTATCTTTGTCCATCTGGGCAGTGGGTGCCCAGCAGTCCAGGATGACCAGACTCTAAAACTTCCCTGAAGGGAGGATGAAGTCATAGACATTCCAGAAACTACTACATAATTTGATATTTCGAATGTGGGCTTTGGAGTCAAATGTTCTGAGTTTGAATCCTATCTCTGCCATTTAGGAGCTGTGGACAGAGGCAAGTGGGCCTGCCTTTCTCTACCTCACCTTCCTCATTTCCAAAATGGGCCCGATAACAGATATTAACTTTACAGGATTGTCATGGGGACTAATGTTCAGTAAATGGGCCACATCTGGCACAGACACAGTTAAGCGCTCAAGAATTGCCAGCTATTATTAGTTTTCTTATCTTTGGTTATAAATATTTTAAACATTCTTCAAACAGTATAATTCTTCTGATTGCTGTAAAATAATAGACTGCCATTTTAGGAGGGTGGTCACATCCTAGTAACGTAGACATCTCAGCCGGGCCAGCTTAGCCCGTCCAGCGGGATTCCTGCCTGTGTGTGCTGTGGCCCTGGCGGGCAGTGACCCCCACTGGCAGGTGGGGAGGACTGGCCACCCTGGCCAGAACGTGCTGCCCATTTATTCTGCAAACATTTACTGAGCAGCCCTCCCCATGAGTCACATGACCAAGATACTCTCATCCTCTTCAAGGAGGTGTATTTGTTGAGCATGTAGATGGTCCCAGACCCTGGCAGAATTCAGTCTCGTGAGTAGGTGTTCCTATGTTTGTTTCTTGGAAATAGAAATGCCTAAAGTCATAGAGCAGGCAAGAGATGGAACTGGAATTAGCCCAAGTCAATCTGTTTCTTCTGGTGTCATTTTCATGAGTTCACACTTCCTTAGGAAACTTGGTCCCACTGCCCACCCTGCCCTGATTTAATGCCAGGCCAATAATGCCATCGTGTTTCTATTGAGTGTGGGCTGGCTGAGGAGACAAACACAGTTTGTTTGCCTTTGTTAACATTAGCAGAGGCTTTTAAGATATAAGACTGTAAGGCCATCTCTTGCAATGATATTTTCTTTCTTTTCTGTTGGGAAGCTGATAGGAGATATCCAAGTAGGACTCCTAGTTCCTTAAAATGACCTTGAAGCCTTCCATTTTTTGTTTGAAGAGGTGGGACAGGAAGAATGAATTACAAAGTGATCCCCAGGGGTGCTCCAGAAGAATCTTTAAAGCCCTAGCCAAGTAGTTCAGTTGGTTGGAGCACAGTCTTGTATGTCAAGGTTTCAGATTCGATCCCCAGTCAAGGCACATATAAGAATCAACCAATGAATGCATAAATAAGTGGAACAACAAATGGATGTTTCTCCCCCCCCCCCCAATCTCTCTCTAAAAAAGAATCATTAGAGAAACTGACAGGAAACAGCTGGAATCGGGCGGCATTTGCCTGTGAGTCAGCCACTGGGCTGGGGGGCAGCTTTTGAACAGCGCCTGTAGAAAGATGCTCCTGTCCACAGGGGAGTCTTCTTAGAAAAGAATGATATCTAGCAGAGTGTGGAAACGAGAGGCAGTTAGCCAGACAAGGATGTGGAGGACTAGAGGAACGTTAGAGGCAGAGGAAATAGCCCACAGTCAACAAGAGATTGTGCTAGAAGGTTTGGCAGGGGCCAGCTGGAGAGGGCCAGGCACACTCCTTTAGGGAGAGATGGCCTGGTCTGGGAGAGGGTGACCAGTGAGCATGAGACACGTGGGTAGGTTGGATAGCTAGTGGCTGAAACGTAGAGGTTCCCTCTGAGTGGGGAGGGGGAAGGCAGAACGCCAGTCCTCAGGTTCCTGGCAGCTCCATGCCGGAGTCAGTGACTGCAGGAGGTGGAACCTTTGGGGGTGTGAGCTGGGAGGCTTGACA